GAGTGGCCAGCAGGCGGGGACAAGATGCAGATTCTTGGCTCTTCCTCCTTGACCAGGCGGCTTGCTCCAGGCAGAATAAACACATTTTCAGCAGCTGCCAGCATATGAGTTAAAAGCTGCACTCCCCTCTAAGCAGGCTTGCAAAAATGTTCTAAAAGGCGAATCATTTGCTGCATTTCTTAGCAGCCAACTGTGGGAAGTCTGCTTGGTCAGCAGCAGTGTGGATGGGCCCTGGGTGGGTAACGACAGCTGGTGAGGCCCAAGTCTTAACCCCAGTCCCTGTCCCTCAGAGGTCACTGCACCCCCCATCACGCCTCCTGGGGCTGCTCCTCCTTCCAGGTGGCAGTTACAGAGAAGTCTGTCTAGTTTCATTGCATGTTGGGTTCCAGAAAGTGATTAAGGGAGGCCACCACAAATCTGTTTTTAGAAATACCTGGATACTTGTGGAAATCCTAAATAAAAGATAAGTTTTTGCTTTTGATTGGGGATCGTGAAGTATGCTGAATGCAGATAAGAATATAAATTGGTCATAATAATTAGTCTGAGTGGCCTGCAAACTGCCTTCCTTCCGTGATCTCATTTAATCTTTTTTTAGATCAACTTTCTTTGACGTATAATTTACACACAAGAAAATTCACACATTAAGTGCACCTGTGGATGATTTTGACAAATGTATACGGCCATGGACCTACGGCCCCAATAAAGATAAGAACGTTTCCATCTTCCCAGAAGGTGCCCCTCCACACCCACTGATCTGACTGCTGGCCCTAGAGATTAGTGTTGCAGGTTCTGGATGGCCTTTCATGGTTACAGCTCTGCAACAGGTGCAGGGATGCTTACCGCTGCCCACTCCGGGGAGACTGGGGGCACAGTCTTAGGGTCCGGAGCGCTTTGCTTTTCCTGGAGCCTGCGTCTGTGACTGGGCACCTGAAGGAAATGGCAGTAGAGCCATAGGACTGAATGCGATTCCTGTAGATTTGCACCCAAAGCAGTATTTCAGCCTGTGGTTTTTTGTGACAAAGAGAAATCGAGAGATTCCAAACAGACTGAAGCCCTGCAGGGCCTCTTTGGGAATCTGGACTGAGAGCAGATAACCACTTGGTTTACTACAGCAAGTGTTTATTAAGTGCCTGTTGCATGCACTGAATTGTGCTGGGTGACATGGAAGATGTAAAATGAAGAGAAGGCTCAGCCCCACCCTTGAGGAGCTTGTGGTTTTGAGAAACAGTTGAGAGAGAATGATTCCAGGCAAAATGAAAATGCAGGGTCCCTTGTTCAAAAAGCAGGAAGAGTGCAGTTAAAGGTCCTAAAATATGAAGCTTTCTCCTTTCTTCTGCAGTCTCTCTCTCTCGACTTGTCGTGGTGCTTTTTGTTGCTTTTTTATTTGTTATTCTTTATCTTATTTTATTATATTTTATTTAATTGTTATTTTACCATTATTATTTATTATATTAAATTCTCAGCATTGAGTTTATCATCATCTTTATGTTGTACAATGTCAGTTTTAAGTTTACATGCAAATAGAGGAGCATTTACTTGTTCGTGGAATCTCAGAAATGATATTTCCTAACTCGTGCATGCATATGTATTTTGTTCTTACCAGAACTGGAAACTCTGCTCAAAACTATCTCAACTGTGTGTATTTCACTTCTTGACGTGCACGTTCTGCCAGCACTGCCCACTGTCAGCTTGTGATGCTGGAGCAGAGACAGAGGAGGGGGAACTCTGGGTGCCCTGGGGGTGGCCCTCGCCCTCTGTCATTGTCTTCAGTGTCTCTGGTTGGCTGATGCGGGGCAGTACCCCAAAGAAGGAAGGGCAGGAGAGAGTTTCTTGGTTGGTCGTGTTTCTTAGAACTCCACTGCCTTCCTTCTGCGTTCAAAGCAAATTCCGTTTGGAATGGAGAGTGTGGCCCTTCCCAGCTGACCCAGTCAGAGATGTGATACGCTGCCTTGTCCTCACTCAGAGTCTCGCTGAGTCCCACCCATCGTGGGTCCACAGGGATTCCGTGCTCCAGGGGCACTGAGAACGCTGGCGCCAGTGGGGCTGCATGGATCTTCTCTGCTTGCGGGTGTGCCCTAGTATTTCATCAGACTGCACTTACACAAGGTCAGATCGAGTTACTAAGAACTTGAGGACAGTGGCCGCCTCTGAGTGCGGATTCCCCAGGCAGACTGCACGGGTATGTACTTGGTGCTCAGTGAAGGCCCATGGGTTCCTGACACCAGTGGAGCCTGCTGAGGAGATCTCGTTGTTTTGAGTGTTAACTCGAGAATGTAAGGGAGGCATTCAGCCTGGGGCTCGCAGTCTGGGCCAGCACTCTTTGTATCGTCCCCTCGGAGCCGCAGGTGGAGCCCAGGTCCCTGAAGCCACGCCCTCAGGGCGGCAGGGTCTCTGTGATGAGACTCGGCCCCTCCTCTCTGGGGTCAGACCCGCTGGTCCCTGCACCACCACCTGCCGCGGCACGTGTTCTGGCTCTGGCGGGGGGGCTAGGCCTCTCTGAGCTTTCTGCTCCTCGTGCCTGGTGCCAGGAGCCCGTGGGGGCTGCAGCCCCCATGCTCCCAGCCGCGCTGGTATTTGGGGCCGTGGCACCGGCAGGCCTGGCCACTTCACCAGCCGGCCTGTTTCCTGATGTGCTGTTTGGGGATTTTCCGGCTGGAAAGTTCTTTCCAGACTTTCAGAGTGGGCCTGGGAGTGTGGGGCGATGGTTACATCTCCCTCGTTGGTCACTGTATATTTTAAAGATGGCAATACAATTGCCTTTAAAGTGGTGTGGCATTAAAAAAAAAACATTTTTTTAAATACAATTTTTGGCATGGCCAAAGAATAAAAGCCCATGGAATGGCTGCGTTCAGAGGCCCCAGCATGGCCTCGGGGGCCGTGAAGCGCCGTCTGTCCTCACCGGCCTGTGAAGGTTCCGAGTTTGAAGGAGCGACTGAGAGTGGAGACCCTAACTGCTGGATTTCAAAGGCGCCACTATTTCCCCCGAGCCGCTCGGTTAATGTAAGAAAGGTGTTTTGCCGTAAACCTTTGCAGGGTATTTGGGGGGCTCGCAAGGGGTCGTCCCGGGCAGGAAGCGCTTGTCGTTGCTATGAAGAAACGGGCAACAGGAGCACGAGGGTCAGGGCGCCCGCAGGACGCGCCCGCCAGCGCCCCGCCGGAGAGTGGCCTGACCCTGAGGGGCCTCGTGCGCGCAGGCCCGGCTCCAGTTTAAAGTTCAAGGCATTTTGTTTTTTCACCTGTTTCCTAAGGTTCTAAGAAACTTCTGAAGAATTAATGTGTAACTGTATCAGACGCTCAGGCTCTTTCTCAAGGGAAAATAATGTTACAGTAAGAAGAGAGAGAAGTGGCTACTTGACTGAGATTCGAGAAGGTTTCTATAAAATAAGAAAAATCCTCTCCAGGGCAGACGTGCACTACGTCACATGTGCTTTTCACTAAGATTCGACCACACTTAGTAACATCTGCCTCTGCTGACGGCCGTGCTGCCCAGTGTGGCTGCTGGGGGCCACGCAGGGACTCACTGGTCCTCAGTTGTGACAGGGTGCCCTTCATGAATTGGGTGGGGCCACGGTTCTGCTGGAGCCGACTTTGGGCAGGCGTTTCTGGTTCTGAAACAGTTCACTGTCCAGGCAGTGGGAGTGGCAGAGCTGACTCCTCGGAGGCCTTAATTTCATGTGACCCAAATCCAGTCTTTTCACCTGTCTTTTCTCACGCAGTCTTAACGTGACAACGGGCAATAAACATTGTTAGTGGCTTGACGATTTATCACTCGGAGAAAACAGTTTGAAGTGATGACATACAGATTTTACTAACATTTCCTTGTATCATTACATTTTAATACACACAGCATGAATATTTTATGGAGACATCTTTTTTTAAAGGTTGTTTTCATGTTAAAAGCTGGTATCTATTTAAGCCCTTTTGCAGATTAGTTTAAGAATAATTAAATATTAGCCCTTTTCTTGTTTGGTTTACCTGGTATGTGTGTTTCTGAATATGGTATAGGCATATGTAGTTGTTCTAATTTGTACACTAGCATAATAAACCCTTAAGTTAAATCCTGCCTTTTACAAACTCTTACCACCAGGTGGCTAAGAAAAAAAAATTAAGCAGGAAAAATCCAACAGTTATGTGAAGGACTTGTAATCACTTTCAATTTCTGCTTCAGTGATGAAATATGAAACTATAGATGGACTGTGTTTCAAGAAAGAAAACTGCCGAATAAGTGAGAGGCGTTTCCAGCAGCGCCAGGCCAGAGGAACATTTCCATGAGTGTTTTTGTTTTCTTAAATATTGACAATGTTAAACTAACCAAATTTTGCTGAAGTAAAAATCTTGGAGACTCTATCTGAGCCTGTTCCACCTCTGTGCTGACCCCTGCATGTCCACATTATTCCTCGCCCGTTGGGTTTGGGACAAGGGTTCAGCTTTTGGGCTCTTTGATTCCCAAGTGGAAAGTGACTAAGTCCTGACCACAGCAGTGGCCGCCCACTCAATCCTTTATCCATCAGTAACGTTGTTTACAGAGATGTTGTTGAGTTCATTTAGAATCGGCACTAAGACTCAAAAGTAAAATATCTCACATTTCTCTTGCATTGATTCTGTACATTAATGGTAAGATGCTATAGGGAAATCCATGCATGGGGGATGGTGACATAACGGGGGGAAGACACTTGTAGACTTCTCTTTTCATGGGTAGATGTGTTAGAGGAAGGACAGCACCATGTGGCGGAAACCATACCCTCCCTCCTCCACGTTTCTAAGGCATCTTGAGAATGGCGGGTCTTGTTCCAGGAATACAAAACCCCACCACTTTCCTTGCCAGTGCTTCATGTGGCTGCTCAACTTCTGTGCATTCCAGTTTGCCTTCAATTCTCTAATTTATTAATTTTGACAAATAACCTCTTGGCTGTACATGGTTTTATTCACAATTCATTTTTCTGATTCAAAGTGAACAGGAGTGCCTTAATCCTCTAATGGGAATTAATTGCTTGTTTCAGTGCTTAACTCTGATCCTTTCTCAATCCCCACAGGGATGAGTTTCTTCCTGAAGGATTTGTGTTTGTTGTTCAAAACACAGTCAGAAAGGTAATGATGTTTTTCTTGTGAAAGGAGCCAGAAATGCAGAATATTAATTTTCTTTTTTTATTACAAAAGTAGTATTCTCAAACTAATATTATTAAGGATATAATTCAATAGATAATTTAGAAAAAATTATAATTTGGTTATTCTAGCAAGCTACATTATTTCCTAGAAAAGAAGTTTAGTTTTTATTGCTGGGTTTTCTTTTATGGAAATAGGCTGTCATGTTCTGCAGAAAAAAGTTACTGTACTGATTTTCTGCAGAGTTGGAGTTAACATTGTATGGCCTAACCATGATCATGTCTACGTAATATCACCTTCCCAAGTGTTCTTGTCTCTGAAAAATCATTAAGGCCACAACCAATACTTGATATGGCTTGATTCCTTCTCCCATTTATTATGTAGAGTATTCTTTTTTCTTTTATTTTTTAAGGGGCTTTATTAAAAAGAATATAAGCTAGCATATATTTTTATAAGATCTTGATAAAAGGAGGAGTTGGGATGGAGAACTTAGGAGGGAGCAGGGTCAAGAGGAAGAGAGAATTAATATTCATCGGGTGCTGAGGCCTGGTACCTGGTCGGCAGTCAATGGTGATTAGATCTTAGGGAGATAGGATGAACCTAGTTTTAAATAGCAGAGATAGAAGCTCAGAGGGTTTAAATAACTTTCCCAAAGACCCACAGCTGCTAAGTGGTGGAGGTGGGAATTAGATTCAGGCCTGACATTGTGCCACAGTGCATTTCTTTACACTTACCACGCATTGTGCCCTTAGATATCCATCTACAGAATGCTGAGGCCATCCTGCCTGATGATGTTCCCTGCAGGGGCTGGCCTGACCATCAGTGTCCTAGAACCAGCCTACCTGGGAGCATCTACTTCACAATAAAGCAGAGATGGAGCCACTCCTGAAGAGCACTCTTGAGTTTGCTCTCAGAAAGCCCAAATGGCTCATCTACAGCTGTTTCTATCCATTATTTATTAAAGCAAACTCTTGCATTTTATCCAAGACTCTGACCATAACCCAGTGCCATGGAAGAAACTACATGGCAGGAAGGGGACAGTGTTGAAGACATAGTAATGTATGAGCCTTAAAGGTAGCATCCCCTTCTGCAGTGGCAGTGCCACCCTTCTAGCCTGGCCCAGGGGCATGGTGCATTAGGAGGATAACAGTGTGCTCCCAGCCTGAATGAATCACAGGCATATTCTGAGTTAGCCCTGGCTGCAGTTCTGAGAGGATCTGGCCAATGTAGTAGACTTCTCACAAGTTGTGTTGGCTGTGACCCTCACAGCAGCCCTTGGAAATTGGCTGAGAATGACAGGCAGGGAACAAGAGTATAGGGAGATAAGGAACTCAAAGAAGAAAAACAAACTAAACCCAAAGCTAGTAGAAGGAGGGAATAATAAAGATTAGAGCAGAGATGAACAATAGAGAAAAATCAATGAAACCAAGAGTTGGTTTGAAAAGATCAACAAAACTGACAAACTTTTAGCTAGATTAACTAAGAAAAGAGTGAAGATACAAATAATTAAAATCAGAAATGAAAGAGGGGACATTACAACCCATTTTACAGAAATAAAAAGGATCATAAGAGAATATTATGAACAATTGTATGCCAACAAATTGGATAACCCAGGTGAAATGGATAAATTTCTAGAAACACACAAGCTACCAAGACTGAATCATGATGTAATAGAAAATCTGAACAGACCTATCACTAGTAAGTAGATTGACTCAGTAATCAAAAACCTCTCAACAAAGAAAAGCCCAGAACCAGATGGCTTCAGTGGTGAATTCCACCAGATAAGTCAAGAGAATCAACACTAATCCTCTTCACATTCTTCCCAAAAATTGAAGAGGAGGGAACACTTCCAAACTCATTCAACGAAGTCAGCATTACCCTGACACCAAAGCCAGACAAAAACACTATAAGAAAAGTATAGACTAATATCCCTGATGAAGATTGATGTAAAAAAATCCTAAACAAAATAGTAGCAAACGGAATCCAACAACACATTAAAAAGATTATCTACTATGACAAGTGGGATTTATTCCTGGAATGCAAGGATGGTTCAACATATGAAAATCAATCAGTGTAATACACAACAGTAACAGAATGATGGAAAAAAACCACATGATCATCTCAATTGATACAGACAAAACATCTGACAAGATTCAACACCATTTCATGGTAAAAACACTGGAAACTACCTCAACATAATAAAGGTCATATATGTTAAGGTCATACTCGGTGAAAGACAAAACTTTTCCTCTAAGATAAGGAACAAGATAAGGATGTCTGCTTTTACCTCTTTTATTCAACATAGTACTAGAAGTCATACTTGGAACAATCAGGCAAGAAAAAGTAATAAAAGACATCCAAACTGGAAAGGCAGAAGTAAAATTATCTCTGTTCACATGATCTTATATGTAGACAACCCTAAAATTTCCACTTAGAAACTAATAAATGCATTTAACAAAGTTGCAGGATACAAAATCAGTGCACAAAAATCAGTTGCATTTCTATACATTAACAATAAACAATCTGAAAATTAAAAAAACAATTCTATTTATAATAACATCAAAAAGAATAAAATAGGAATAAACTTAAGGAGGTGAAAGACTTGTACACTGTAAACTACAAAACATTGCTGAAAGAAATTAAATAAATGGAAAGACCTCATGGTCATGGATTGGAAGACTTAATATTTAATGTCAATACTACCCAAAGCAATCTAAAGATTTAATGCAATTCTTATCAAAATTCGGAACAGCATTTTTTTGCAGAAATAGAAAAATCCATCTGGAAATTCATATGCAATTTCAAGGGACCTCAGATAAGCAAAGCAATCTTGAAAAAGAACAAAGTTGGAGGTCTCATACTTCTGATTTCAAAACTTACTGCAAAGGGGGCTGACCTGCTGGCGTAGCAGTTAAGCGCACGTGCTCTGCTTCAGCGGCCCGGGGTTGGCAGGTTCGGATCCTGGGTGCGCACCGACGCACTGCTTGTCAAGCCATGCTGTGGCGGCATCCCATATAAAGTAGAGGAAGATGGGCATGGATGTTAGCCCAGGGCCAATCTTCCTAGGCAAAGAGAGGAGGATTGGCATCGGATGTTAGCTCAGGACTGATCTTCCTCACAAAAAAAAAAAAAAAAAACCACTGCAAAGCTACAGCAATCAAAACAGTGTGGTACTGACACATATAGACCAATGGAAGACAATAGAGAGCCCAGATATAAACCCTTGGATGTATGGTCATATGATTTTCGACAAAGGTGCAAAGACCAGTGGGGAAAAAGTCTTCTCAGCAATTGGAAAACTGATACCACTGTGCAAAAAAATGAAGTTGGACTCTTACTTTACACCATCTCAGATGGAAATTCCCAGCACAATGAATAAAAAAACCCACATGAAAATACATCATCATAGAATCTCAGAATCTGAGGATAAAAGGGAAGACCTTAAGAGCCTCCAGAGAGAAAAGCTAGAGTCCTGTACAAAGGATTGTGGATCCCAATGGCACTGGACTTCTCAGCAAGAACTTGTGGAATTAGAAAACAAAGACATGCCTTCAAAGTTCTGAAGGAAATTATTTCTAGAATATTCTCAGCTGCACTATTAATCCAGGGTGGGAGAATAAGCTTCAGTAAAGTGAGGGAGTCAACCAAGAAGAGGCCAGGGGACTCAGGGACAGGGCTCTAGCACAGGGAGAGGCTCAGGGAAGTGGGGCGGACAGCCCAGTTGGCCGAGGTACCAAAGACCCAGGCTGGAGCAGGATGGGCTCCAGGAGCGGTGGCTCCAGGGAAAGCAGAACCCATGGGTGGGCAGGGCTGAAGGGATTCTTACAGTGCTTTCAAAAATGTGAGGCTGATTACTATCAGAGAAACTGGAAAGAAGAGCAAGAAAAAAAAAGTGAAGTAATTTTTAATTCCAAGAAAAACAAAAAGTTGTCCAAGAAAGGAAATTAATCATAGTACACTATGTGCCTTATCTGAGAACAGTGTTTACATAGTTCTAATGCTGAACTCAATATGGATTTAGCCAGAAATTGTGATGTGAGTCTGTTGGGGGAATGTGGGGCAAAGTGTGCGTGTATTTGGGGTGCGTGGGTAGGAGAGCCAGTGTTGGGCTTCTAGAGCAATAACCCCAGTGAGCATTTAAAGCAGGTTTACCAAACGTGCAGGACGGTCTATGTCTAGGAACTCACGCAGCCATCACAACAATCCTCTGAGGCAGGTTGCTGTTACTACTTCCTTTTCCAATTGAGGAAGCCTAGGCACAGAGAGGTTAAGTGGTTTGACTCAAGTCACACAGTTAATAAGTGGGAGAGCCAGGATTTCAACGCAGGCAAATTGGTTCTACAGTCTGTGCTTTAAACCACTATGCTCACCTGCTTTTAGGGTAGGAAGGCAAGACATAAAGCATCGAGAAGTAGCAGTGTAAGCAGCCAACCATATGGAGATAAAGGCCACGTGCAGCAGTCAGACGGCTTAAAGTGTCGCCTCAAGGCAGTGGAAGAGGGTAGGGAATTTAATTTTTCTTGTAAAGCTATTCGACTTTTACATTATGGACATGTGTTACTTTTAAAACTTGAATTAAATAGGGGAAAAAGCTAGGGCACCAGTGATGAGGTGAGCGGGGCTCCCATTTTGACTGGTTTGGCCCGGCTGTGCAGCCCGAGTCCTCACCACCCTGAGACTCGGCGTCGTGGGATCACATGGTTTCTGAGTTCTCTTCCAGCTCTTCCCGTTCTGGCTGTGAGCAGGACAAGCAGTGATTTGAGAACATGCACCATAAAGAGCAATCAGGGTGACGGGGCAGGGACGAAGGGACAGGGTGGGCGCTGCTTCAGTCCCCGCTCAGGGAGGCCTGTGAAGGGGCAGGGCTGGGCGGGCCAGGGAGCTGCGGCTGCCGAGGCCCCACAGGGAGGGCTGTGGGGAGTCTGCAGCCCAGGTTGACCACGACCCTCAGGGGCTGCGCTGGGGCAGGCTGGAGGGAACAGAGCAGCAGGCCTGTTAGGAGGCTGGGGGCCAGTCCTCAGGCCGACGAGGGTGGTGGTGGTGACGGGGCTGAGAAGTGCAGATCCCTGGGAGGACCTGGAGGCATTGTTGACAGATGGTGCTGGAAGACAGGATGCACGTGTGGGAGAGGGACGCCAGGTGGCTCCTGTGCCTCTGCTTCCAAGGCTGCCACACAGCCCGTCCAAACCCACTGTCACCCTCTGGGCCCTAGTCTCCCTGTAGACAGGCCCCGCGTCCTTGTCACTCTGCGGGCAGGCCCAAGGTGCTCTCCCGATGCCCCTCTGTCTCTCTGTCTGCGTCCTCCCCCCGCCCCTGCAGCAGCCCTGCCCTGTCAGCAGCACAGTGCCTGTCTCCTCTTCCCTCTGTGCCTCCAGTTCCAGGCTCTTTCTGATGCCCATCTTGACTTGCATACCCGAGGCATGCCTCCCCCTCAAGACCCAAAACTCTGATCTGTCCTTCCACTGTTGTCAGAGTCCCCACAGCCAGAGCTCCCGTTATTCCCTGTCCTCTTCAAGGTGTCCCAGTTGTCACATGCCCAGAGTGCGTGTGCCCGGCCAGCCTTGTGTTTTTCCCACGGCCAAGACTTTCCGAGTGCAGTTTGCCTGAAACCCATGGAACTCTTGACATTCCATGGACCGGTGACCAAGACCGAGGCAGCGGAGAGGACAGGTGGGCACAAGTCGGCAGACGTGTTGGTCTGTGGGGGCCCCCATTCCCCCCGCAGAGGCCCTGAAGAGGCGGGGCAAGGCCAAGACCCCAGAGCAGCCATGGTTTGCTGAGAAGAAAGCGGAAGTCCTGGGAGTTAAGTGTGACTTCAAGGCCCAGCTGGCCACACGACTGGTGGCAGAGCTCTCTGGGCACACCCCGGTGTCCAGGGGGTGTCGCCCTCCAGGTGTTTCTGGCTGGCTGTGGGCTGCCGCTGGCAGATGGGCGCATCTTTCGTTTGCCTGCTGGGGTGTCTCTTTCCAAAGCCCGTGGTGAAGGAGGCTGTGCAGGCCGTCCCTACCCTGCGCGGTCACAGGGCAGCAACACGCCAGGTATGAGGAGGGCCCACCGCTGTTTCACTTTCATTTCCATTTTTGTTTGAGTCATTTCCACACAAATCACTTTTGTCGATTATGTAACAATCTGCGGCCCAGACCCAGGTGAGTGGTAAACATTTACCTTCACGTTGGAGCCAAGGTCACTGTGCTGAGTCACAGGGAACCGTCATTACCCTCTAGGACCTTGGAAAAGAGACACCAAAAGGTGCGGTTGTTGAAGTTTAGCTGGGTCACACTGCCAGGACCAGAATGTAAATTTAGTCCTGGCAAGGACTAAACCCGAGTTCTCTCGTGCAGCCGATTACAGGTGATTATTTTACACACACATATGTAGGTGTATATATGTACTTATCTTTGCTTATCATTGTTTTTTCTATAATATTTATTGTGTAATTTTTAAAGTCCTTTTGAAAAGATTGAAAACTAACTGTTCTAAAAGACCGCAGTTCTGTAGGGCTTGATCCCAGGACAGGCTGTCTCCATCTGACAAGTCTGTAAAATGAGTGCCTTTTCCCAGAAAAATGACAATACAGGGTGGGTGGTGTTTCCTGGACCCTCAGAGCCCACCGCAGCATGGGCAGGAGTAGTAGGCTGGGGGTTGGGAGCAACTGCTCACCCACACGGCCTGAACTATTTACCCTCTCCTCCTTCCCAGACGAAGTTTCCAACCCCTGCTGAGACAGACAGCTCCTGTCTCTCTAGCACTAGAATATGTAACAGTCTGCCTCCTTTCTGCCTTGCAGCACCTCTGGCCCGCATGGCCCACGTGTTCGTGTATGGGACCCTGAAGAGAGGCCAGCCCAACCACAAGGTCCTGCTGGGCGGCACCAATGGCTGTGCAGCCTTCCAGGGCCAGGGCCGAACGGTGGAGCCTTACCCCTTGGTGATTGCGGGAGAACACAACATTCCACGTCTGCTGAATGTCCCAGGGCAGGGCTACCATGTGGTCGGGGAGATCTATGCCGTGGACGAACAGATGCTGTGCTTCCTGGATGAGTTCGAAGGCTGCCCGGACATGTACCAGCGCACCCCGGTGAGGATTGTGGTCCTCGAGTGGGAAGGCATGCCCGCTGCCGACAGGACCGTGCAGTGCTTCGTGTACAGCACGGCCACCTATCCGCCCGAGTGGCTGCACCTCCCGTACCACAACAATTACGACTCTCAAGGGCAGCATGGGCTTCGCTATAATCCCCGGGAAAATAGATGAGAAGTGCGAGGACGCTGGTCGGCGGAGGACCCATAGAGCCCTGATGACCATCAGATGACCGCCAAGGGGTCTGCATGTACTGGATGCAGAAGCACAATAATGCCCTTTGAAACAAGTATTTGTAAAACTCAGTCTGCGGGAAAAGAAACAGCCTCTTTCAGTGGCAGCCAATTTCCCCGATAATCTCGACATGATAACAAGATTGTGCCCTGACACCTCTCTCTCCGATCTATCCTGCTTTATTCCTTGCTGCTTAAAGAGCATCATGGGCTTGAATGTGTTGGATAAGAAAAATTTAGGATTTTAATTTCACTAACTGACATTTCAGGAACTCATGTTATCATACTTTTCTTTTTTTTTTGCTTTGTTTTAATCTGAAGATAACATTTAAAATGAACGTAAAGACCGTGTGTTGCAGCTAGATTTTGGCAGCCCTACTGTATTGATTCTGACGTGTAGCACCAAGAAAAAAAAAATTTTTAAGCTCATTTTGGATGTCTTAATGTAATAAAAGAACCTCAAGAAAAACATGCCGTGTTTTGGAGTATATACAAGATCATTCTTCACGATTTTCAGATTGAGCTTATTAAAAAAGATTATTCAAGAGGATCATTTAAAATTAAACTAGATGTTTTGGGGAATCAAATATAAAAGTGTTAGTGCTATTGTTGGTCCTTTTTTGGGTCTACTTGTTTGGCAGAAGGTTCTTTTCATTCTAATCCAGCAAAATAACGAGCACCCACTTGCTGGCAGACGCAGCTGAACACCCCAACTTCAGATGGAAGCTCACCCAAGCCCGGAGCCCAGCGGCAAGGCCCCATCCCTGCCTCCCCAAGGGAGCAGCATTTGGGGGTGGGCCTTTCAGAGAGTGAAGAACCAACACATTAGTAATTTGTTCTTCAGGCTTGACAGAAAGCTTAGCTTCCAAATACAAACAGCACTTAAAATAATTTTAGCAAGGCACGAAGTACCAATTACTACCCACCTCCATCTGATCATCTGTCAGCGTAGATTCAAATCAGTGCACGACTCTGCCTCTTCTTACTTACCCGCAAAGTATGAAATGTATTCCAAGAATTTCAGAACCAAATGAAAGTGCAGCTGCTGATCCTCAGTAACCTTGTTCTCTGTTGGGAGAGCTCAGTTACTCTTCAACTTACTTAATGGTAGACTGTGATTGCTAACTAACTAACTGCATCTGGCACGAAAACATGATCATTATTTTTAGCCCTTTTTTCTTAACTGGAAACTTGCTTCACAAAAACACAAAAAGGCAAGGATGGGTATCAGCTGATGAGTTTGTGGCAGCCCCACCCACTACAGTTGCGGTGAGGGAGCCCCAGGCAGAGCCTGTGGGATGGGGACAAGGGGACCGTGTGAGTCAGCTGTCCCTAAGGTGATGCCCCAGGGACCTAGTGCTCACCCCTGAGAGCCACACAGGAGGGGTTTCCAAAATCGTCATCTGTGCTGTGTGGGCTTTAGGAGGTTATGAATAACTACAAACAGAGTTAGGCCCTAACCAGGATGAAGTAGATAATCACATTATAAAGTGGCAAATGCTAATTTAATGACACTGAAGGCAAAGAACTGGGATTTATATAAATAAATTTTTTAAAAGGATCACAATGAAACGCTAGTATTTAAAGTCTACTGGCACAGCTTATAGCCTCTTATGTACATTGTCTTCATTCAAAAAAAGGGCAAACTAATATTTAGACAAATGCTCAATTTTATTGATTTAATTTTGACATTAGGAAGTACGAATCATATGTACAAGTATTTATATCAATAAAAATTTCCATTGGTGATTTTTTTGGCAGAACGTTGGTTTTGACTATGTGTGGAATAAATATGACCATGTAAAATCTGCCGCACAGGGGTGTTCCTGCAAAACGCTTGAATAAATTGAGTGTGAAAGAATAATAATACAAATGGCTCATTAAATTGGGTGATGACTGAAAGGCTACAAATACTTCATTCCAGTTCCACGAGCAGATCTCCTTCCCCAACTGTGTCTCCAGCTTTACAATGCACTGATTTCACCTTGAATTTAAAAAAAAAAAAAAGAGGAGAGTAAGAATCATTAAGTAGACCAGGAGGGAGCAATCTCGTCATTCGTTTCTGGAAATGAAGAGACAGCCTGGCAGGCCGTGGAGCACAGGCAGAGCACTGGGTGGCCCGGCAGAGGGGACCAAGTGCACAGGGACATCCTCATGGAGGGCTGCGACTCGCCACCTTCCCCTCTCCTGTCCTTGTCCATCCGAAAAGCCACTGGTCCGAGGGAATTTCTGCTGTCGTCTGCCCACCAGCCCTTGCACTGCATGCGCTCCAGGGTCTGGGCAGCATCCTAAAAGCCAGAATTGTTTATGCTGCATGATCTCTCAACACTCAGCCCTCCCAGTCTCTCTCATGGTTTTAGGTCATAGAAACGTTCTCTGAAAGTTAATGTACATTGTACATTAATTTAGTGTAAAAAACAAAATAAGAATCAAAACAGGTGCTAATTAACAGGAGAAGCCCCAGCCTGATGGTGAACTTCCTTTGGAAGGGAAATGAAATACTCAGAAGGCGTGTGGCTGCACGGACAGTACTTTGCGGTGTGAGGTGGAACAAGCACTGAGCTCCCACAACATCGCTACTGTGCCCTTTTATTCTACCGATTTCTCCTGATTTTAGTCAAGTTTTTCTTTCCCAAATTTGTGCTCAGATTTAAAATGAGTAGGGAGGGGGCTGGAGTGAGGAAGAGACAGTCATTTGACTTCTTGGAGGTTCTTGCTTGGGCGTGAAAATGAATGATGGGTTAGAACTAACTGGCCATCCGGGCAGGTGGCAAACAGGAAAAATGCCGGAGATGGCGAGTTCGGGGCCCTGGCCTGTGTCCCCACCACTCCACAAGAGCCAGAGGCTAGAAGGGCCTTTTTCCCCTGAATTCCAGCCCGGGGTCTTGGAGGACAGTGTGAACCTATGCAATGCCTACTTCAAAGGCCTCGTTGGGCAGGTGCTGTTTGCCTGAAGTGGCTGCTTGTTAGAATCGGAAGCCTCAGTGTTTGTATAGGATGTATTTTCACGATGCTGTGATTGCTCAAGTGGGGGGCCTGTTTCCACTGTGAAGCGTTTCCCCGGGAGGAAAAATGGCCCTCCCAGATAAGACCTGCCAGCCCCCAGGTTTGCCAGGGCCTGCTCCTCTGTGCAGGGGCCTTGGCCACTCCTGGTTGCCCTGCTGGGGGGTGGGAGGAAATGGGATGGTAGGAAGGACTCCTGCTGACAAGGGGTCAGGCCATAGCACAGATTCACCCAGAGCCCATCAACACGCTGAAGGCAGCTCCAGGCTGCTGATGGCCAGGGAGCAGCTAAGCCTCCAGCACGAGACCAGGCTGCGAGGACACGAAACACCCTGACGGATGTGGACTCCACACTCCAGGGAGCTAAGACCACATTCGTCTTTCTGTTAGTACCTCAGTCCAGCAACACAGGCCCTTGGCATGCATCTGACATATATTCTGGGTCCCCCAAAATGAGGCCACCTTCTCATCATGGATGGGAATTTCATGACACTAATGCAGGGTAAATGTTAAATAATTCCAAGGAACAAATATAACAATTTTTACAAGAGCAGAAAGCAACATTTTCTTGTTCACTTCTTAAAAATTAGTTATAGAATGCAGGATTTCTAAAAAACTGCAAACATGCCATTCTCCTCTCTCAAACCCCATGGAGACTGGGCACAGCCATCTGCAGCCCCTGCACCCTGGCCAGCCAGCTCAGGGCCCCCCAGCTGGGACTGGACTGGGCGTCCCCCTCAGCCTGTTCTCTGAGCATCAGTTTCATTTCCTTTTGCAGTGACAGACGGAGGCTGTGTCTTTCTGATGCAAACCTCACTGTGAGCTGACAGTACCTCTCTGCCAGGTACTGCACCCAATGTCCCAAGGCTCAATCTCGCTTTCCAGCATGGCCACAGTGCAGGATCCAGCCGGCCTGTGCTCCCGTCCTCACCCCACCCCGCCCTGCTCCGCCTGGCTCCCTTATTCAGACACTTCCAAACCAAACCATCCTTCAGAAAAGATCATTCTGCTGCAAATGGTGTCTTTTTAGTCAAAGGAAAAATAAGGAAGTTATTACTTAAAAGGACTTGACTGTTTTCTTTAAGGAGAAAATACATTTAAGAAGATTTAATAAATTTTAGTACTAATACATCTTCTTTTTTTCTCCCTTAAATCATTAAGTCCCACATGTGTACATGGGGCTTTCAGCTCCTCTTGATCTAAAATTGAGTTGTTCTCTTTGTGGAGAAATTACCTTGAAGAGTTACATTAATTTTTGCAATCTCTAAAACCATTTCCTGCTGTGTCACCTAAGTCTCAGATAACTAACTGCCTCTAAGACAGATGTAAACATTAAAAATTAAAGACTCCTTGGTTTGAAAGACATTAAGGTGAAGAACAATTGTTCTTTGACTACCTGAACATCATACAGACTCCTGTGGAAGGCCTGCTCTCCATGAGGCCGGGACATGTCGATGCAGAGTGAAGAGAGCTCCCAACCTTAATGCCCTCGTCTGCAGGAGAAGAGGGGGAAGAGATCACCTCCATGGGCCCCTTCAGGCCTAACTGACCAAGACTCAAAGGTGGAAGTCCCACTTCCTATCACAGAGCCGGCGTGTGTTGGTGGGAACTTGGGGACGTACCTTGCCAGTTTTCCCAGCTGTCATGCTGTTCTGCATCTTCATGGCTTCAATTACACAAATTTCCTGACCTTCTGCTACCTGGAAAACAAATGAAAAATGGACGTGTTTTAAAAGCATTCTGATTTTGCAACAACGCTCGAGAGTGAAGCCATTAAGAAATTCTTTGTCAAATGCTTTGAAATTTTATCCACACAACAGCAATGACCTCTAATACTTCTTATTCCAAGTTCATCTTTGGGGGACAACAGAGAAAGAACACTCCCTCTATTGTCAGAAAAATATCCCTGACACTGGAGGACTGCGGGTGGGGGTTGTGGGGCTTCCCCCGGGAATCTCTGAATCTGCCTT